GGCTAGCAACCCCATCCTGTAAAAATTAAAACACTGCTACAGAAAACTTCAAGCCACTAGCTTTAAGCCCTATGTTCCACTGGGAACGTGAAGGAAAAAAAACAAATACACTGAATATTCTAGATTAGTTTCTCGTCGAATTTCCGAACATCACCCTTTGTGGTTGGTTAGGCAAAGGACAAGCAAAATCTATTCGTAGCGCTATTCTATCTCACTCATCTTGTGGATACAGAACACAAGACCGATTGATGTTAACCAGGCGTCTTTCAGGGTCATTTACAGCATACCTACGAATCTCAATTTCGCCTTAAGAGTTCGACTACTAAATACTGCTGAGGCTGTTGGGAACCATATTAACAAGCCTAATTTATGCATCCAAAAGAAGTTGGTTCAGACATTGTCCTTACCCCATTGGCCATCTAGGTTTGATTAATCCGGGATTTTTGTGGAATTTTCCTAATTTTAGTTGATATTCTATTTGCTACTATATCTTTATTATTATTATAATTTAAGCATCTCTAATGAACTGTAATTCCATTGTGATCTCACTTAACAAATCGATATTATTTAAAAATCACTAATATTGTTATTGACTACTAATCTAGAATATTCTATGTATGCAAACATATGTATATAATTGTAGAGCCTGGAAGAGGAATTTATCGAAAGGGGGATATTCTTTACTCGATTATTTTGTGTTTCATAGATGTCTGAATGAATATTTTTGCTACATTAATTATCTGCTGAATGAGTTGGGTAGAATGCGGAACAAGTAATTGGGAGGCGTCTGCTTCCCAATCTTGCCATAACCTAGATTTCAACTTCACAGGCAATCATTACCCAGTATGCAAATAATTATTATAAGTGCTATGTCGTCACTCGGAAATGTTTGGAAACCAGGGAACACTGGACAGCCAATTGTTTCATCTTCAGCAGTCCACACCTACAACTCAACCAGGGAACGCACCCGCGATCATCAGGTTACCAGAAGAAGCTCGTTGACCATGCGGTCGATTGAGTCTAGATTCAACGACCCATGAATTCTGACTTATGTCAAACTGACGACAACCTCTAGGGTCCACAATGTCAAGACGAAGTGGGGGCCCATCGCAGACACTGGTTGACAGTAGCTTTACACATCACGAATTAACGAAGTTAGAACTCACAAGTCGTTGAATTCCTGCCCAAACGGTTGAATAATCGCCCAGCTTGTTTTAATGACCTTAAGGTCTTGAATCTGACACCTGGAAAGGTCATGAGTGTGCAATGGTGAGGAGCACCAAACTAGGAAGAAACAGCTGTCCAGTACTCCCTGACTTTTTTCAATGATTCCTCCAACCTACGTTGGTTTATGATGAGATATGTAGTGAAATTAATTAAAATCCTTACAAAGGCCCCACAATATAAATTATTATTATTATTATTATTATGGACATAATCGGTAACGCTTGTATGCGAGGCGAAAATTTGGCTTACAGCAGGCTTGGAACTAGACGCCTTCGAATCACTTGTTCTACGCCTTACCAAAATTAATGGTGATAAATGAATGATGAAGTCCTCAATGACAGTTCATCAATACTCATGGTCAGTGAACTGAAATAATTTTTTTTGTATGCCTTCACGTTCCCAGTGGAACATAGGGCTTCAAGCTGGAGGCTTGAAGTTTCGGTAGCAGTGGTGTTCATTTTTAACAGGATGGGGTTCCTAGTCAGCCTCATGCCCAGTCTCTCCTCTAGCTTTTATTGCTGGCTTAGTGAGGTAAAGGAGTGCCTTGTCGTTCGGGGATCGAATCTTGGGCCATGTGCATGGTTAGCGAGCGTCCTAACCGCTGTGCCACCGACGCACCGAACTGAAATAATAATCTTCTTGAATAGTCGCGTCTCGTAGCGGAGTTTTTAAAGTTAGCGACGCTAACAGTTTGCGAGCCACCAGTGCGAACTGCCACCTCTTACATGAATACCAGTATGCTAAACCAAGAATACTTCAGAGAGTCTCACCATCAATTGTTGTTATTATTCTTGTCACTGTTTCAGAGATTTCTCATCAACGAGTTTCAACCTGGGAGGATACAGTAGTCGTCTTGATCTAGTTTGGGACTCTTCAGCGAGGAGCACAAACGACGTCACCAGGTGTTAAACTCAAGACCTTTAGGTTTCTAGTCCAAGCCTGACGACTATTTAACTGAATGGGCTAGGACTTAATGACTCTTGAACTCTAACTCTGTCAATTGGTGATGCGCCGCCAACCTCGCTTACGTCTCAGATGACCGTCCACTTCGCCTTGACCTTGTGAATCCTAGTTGTTGAGCTAAATTCGAGGATTTACGGAAGTTAGAATTCACAGGTCATTGAACACTACTCCAAGTGGCTGAATGGTCAACAAGGTTGACCGGTTGACAACCTGAAGGAAGAAACAGTTATCCCACAAAATCCGATAACCTAAGTACTAGTGGTAATTTTTACTATTACCATAATGGATGATGATTGTAAGTGAATCAAAAATCTAGTCTATGGAAGGATAAAAATTAAACGCCCTTGAATTAGTTACAGGATTTCATCATGAGCTGACACTGGTTAGAGGACCATTGGAAAAACAGCTGGGAGTACTGGACAGCTGTTTCATCCCCCTAGTTTGGGACTCTTCATTGGTACACACCCACCACCAGGGTTCGGACGCGGGATCTTCCGGTGACAAGGCGAGCTTGCACACCATTCAACCATTGGGACCCGATCCAATGGCCAGCCCATGAATTCCAACTTCTGCCAACTCACAACACAGCGTAACCGCTAGCCAATGTATTCCGCGGGTGTTTGTGCTCTCACCCGGACTGCTGCACCCTAGTGGTCACGACTGCGCACTAGAACCACAGGGAACTACTTATATGAATGAGGCCTGTCGCTAGTGAACATCTCATTGATATTCAAGCATTCGTTTGTAGGAATTTAATTGATTTATTACAGGATTTCATTATGAGCTGAAATAGGGGTTCTATTGGGAAGTCGTGACCACTAGGGTGTAGCAGGTCGGGTGGGAAGACAAACACTCACCAAAGACATGAGCTAGCAGTCACGCTATGTTGTGAATTGGCAGAAGTTGAAATTCATGGGGTGGCCATTGGATTGGGTCTCAGGGGCTTAATGGTCTACGAGCTAGCTTGTCTTGTCACCAGAAGGTCGTGGGTTCGAACCCCATGATGTGGGTACGTACGGCTGAAGAATCTCAAGCCAGGATGAAACAGGTATCCAGTACTCCCAGGTTTCTTCCAGTGTTTCTCTAACTGATGTCAGCTCATGATGAAATCCTGTAATAAATCAGTCGAATCCGTACAAACCAATACTTGAATGCCTTTGAAGTAACTGTTTCTCATTGTACCTAGTCTACATAGCAGACAACTGATGATGAGACCCATCATAACAGTTGATCATTACCCATGGTAATTCAGCTCAAATAATGATTTTGTTAAACAGCTGTTTCGTGTAGCAGGGCGAGTAAAGTTGGTAAGACTAGTAATTTGGAGGCTGTCTGGTCCAAATTATAACCCCAAACTGAGAGCTTTGAGGACAATTTAAAAATGCAACAATAACAATTTATCCCGATAGAGATCACGAACTGAAATCCTTTAGTGAACTAATCAAAACCAGGCAAAAATGAATAGCTGTTTCGTCCCATTTTGGAACTCTTCATCAGTATGCACCCATGGTTCAAATGAGCACGAAACTTGAGAACTGCAGGTTATGTGGAAAGTTTTGCTGATCATTCAAATATTAGGATGATATTCAGCGACCCATGAATTTTCAAAATTCTGCCGAATCCCAATATATAGCTCCAACCGCAGTGGCCAGTCAGCATTTGTCCTCATACTTGACTTTGTGCACGCCACCGGTCATGATTTCTCACCAAAAATTCCAGATAACTAGCTTGCATTAGACTAAGTTTCAAATGTTGGCTTGCAGGAATTTTATTAACTTCAAGTTAGATGAAGTTAGCGAACCATCAAGTTCATTCACTGGTGGGTGGGATCATAGTGATCTCTCTAAGTGATGTTACTTTGTGCCGAAATCTCCATTGAGAACAGTAATAATAATAATAATAATTAGGTGTTAGTTTGCAGGGGTTTGAGTGATAATACGTCCGATCAGGAAATGACATCAGGTACAGAACCAGTGGAAAACCTGAGAGTAGCAGACACAACTGTTTCGTCCTAGTTCGAGACTCTTCAACAGTGTTCACCTACCAGGAGTTCAAACCTCACCTTTTAACCTTTAGGTCTTGGATTAGAACCCCGGGGGGTATACTCTTTGAAGAGTCCCAAACTAGGACGAAACAACTGACCATAACGTTTCCCTGATCAAACCAATAATAATCTACAATATTATGATTATTCAGTTTACGGAGTACTTCAAAGCAAAGATATGTAATTCGCATTATGGTCGACAATCTAATTAATTTCTATTTGTTTTCTCAAAAAGAATAATAATAAAAGGATAATTCTTGAAATTTATTTAAAAACTTTGAACTACTCAGTGTATGAACTGATTAGTGTTCATACTTCTGGTTAACAAATTAGTCAGGCATGAGTCATTTATTTGTGTTTTTGAAAACAAACAACAGTCAGTATGATGAGTGAGTTATGCTCACTATCGTAAATGTCCTGAAATTTTTTCTTATGACGAATTTGATATGAATTACACTCATAGGTTAGGTGCATGCGTACATTATTCGTTAAAGTGATAGTGAGAGAGACAGGGAGAGAGTGAGAGAGGGGGGAGGGAGAAACAGAGAAGAGAACATTGACCATTCGCTAATTCCCTTGTCTTGTAAACAACCACAACAACCAGTCAAAAACCAGACTGTCAATTTGTTCAATATTGTCAAGGTTATTACGTCATCATCATGATCAGAGTGAGTTCAGTTCAGTTTTTATTTCATTTTTGACTTTCTCTCTCATAAATTAAAGGATTACATGACGCCTTGTGTACAACAAATCAACTAACTACATCATGGATAATACAGCGACTAATCCTCAATCGATCACAATCAGTCCTTATCAAAGTTCATCGCATTCTATTCGGCCATCCTCCTATTATGAAACCCCATCGTCATCATCATCATCTAAACGATATGCATCACTTCACCGGTTGAAGAACACCGCTGTCATTCGTCGTACAAGTAGCACTAACAGTAGGAGTAGAAGTAGAAACTGGCAGCAAAGTCCTAATAAACTTGTATCGACCAACTCACTGTCACACAATCGCTTACTCAATGCTCCTAGACCTGCATTAGAAATCAATAAGGAGAATATATTATTCGTCAAAAATCACCATTACTATCATGATTTCAGTAGTAAACTACAAGCGAATTCACAGAATGATCCTTTTATCTATCCTTCAAACGAATCTCAAATGCATCATTCACCCACACAGCAGACGCAGCAACAAGTAGAAGAACAACAACAGCAACTGCAACAAGACCATAACTTGTCGGAACAATTATTATTATTACCAGCATCTAATGAGACGAATTTCGCGACTTCAACACCATTTATCAAGCCATTGTTTAAACACAATCAGCATGAAAAGAAGATTTTGAATTCAGCGTTTATTGGTGCACCAAGACTTGCGTTAAGTGTTTCAATTAATAATTATAACAATAATAATAATAATGATAACAGTATTGAATGCACACCTAATTTGAGTTACTCACCGGTTAACACTTCTTTAGTGAATACAAGTTTTTCGGTTAAAAGTGGTTATGGAGACGATGATTATCTTCACGAGGTCGGTGAGGAGGAGAAGGGAAAAAAGAAGAAAGATGGCGATGATGGATCTAGTACTACACAAACCACAGAAAACGATCAATCTATTCAACCACGGAAACTAAGCTACACCTTTACACAACCGGCAAAACACTCAAACTGTAATCAAACAAATAATAATCATAGTTTAATTGTATTTCGATGTCGAATATGTCTTGAAGAAGAAGGCGATGAACCCGATGGATTAATGTCACCATGTCGTTGTAAAGGTACTGTTGGTTTGGTGCATAGACGTTGTCTGCAGAAATGGTTGTTAACCTCAGGTAAACCAAGTTGTGAATTATGCGGATATGCGTATATTATGACACCGTCGAAAAGACGTCGTTCATCACAATTTTCAACAACACTGGCTCACTTGAGACGTTTCAATCCAGAATTCAGAAATCTACGCAACTGGTTAGATTGGCAACAGACACGCAAGCATTTAATCGCTGATGCTATATCACTGATTCTCCTTCTACCGGCATGTTATGTTGGCGTGTATTTCTGTATTGTTGGTGTAATTGATTATAAAGCAATTAATCCCTATGGATGGCAGGTGCTTGGTCTGTGCGGACTTGCAATTCTCATTGTCTTGTTAATGACTATATGGAGTTGTTTAGCCGTAAGGCATCATGTAGGCAATTATCGTAATTATCAAGCGTATCAACAACAGTTGGCGTTAGCTGAAGCCGCTCGACTGTCTGCATTGCCAAGATATCGTTTCTCTGTGCAACCAAGACCACGAGGATCGTCGGTTGTTATATACACATTGAATAAAGATCACCAACAACACTCTTCGCCTATGTCAATACGTGAAGGACAAAGGTCAAATGAATCAAGTATTGGACATTTAGATCTAAGTCAATCTTATACTACTAACTCTGCTGCGAATAATAGTAGTAGTAACGAACAATCTGGAAATCAAACATTTCTTGTCTCAGTTGCATTGACCACTGTACCGGAGGTAGCTGAAGACTGTACAAGTTCACAGAGTAAGACAGCATTTACGAGTATTGTTTAATCTGGTTGACGGTAATCACGATAGCTCGTTTCCTTCTTTCAAGGTGTGTGTGTTTGTGTGTCTGTATATAACCTCTGATTAAAACACTTTTGCCTAACATTATGTAAACTATTTGAATTTGATATCGCATTTTGTTTCTAATGAATAAATGTCTAAAGTTGAGGAAGAGGTTCTTTTCATTTTTCGAACTAAATGTCAGTTAGGGAAAGACTTTTTAGTTTGTAGTGATTTGATTGATTGGTTACAGGATTCCATTATAAGCTGACATTGGTTAGAGAACCATTGGAAAATCATCACCGGAATATTGGACAGCTGTTTCGCCAGCCTAGTTTGGGACCCTTCATCAGTACTCAGCCACACTACGGGGTTCGAACCCACGACCTCCTGGTTACAAGGTGAGCTACCTCGTCGACCATTAAGCCACTGGGACCCGATCCAATGGCCAGTCCATGAATTCTAACTTCTGCCAATTCACGACATAGCGCAACCATTAGCCAATGTCTTCGGCGAGTATTTGTCTTCACAGGTTTTCCAATGGTTCTCTAACCAATGTCAGCTCATGATGAAATCCTGTAACTTTTAAGTTACTTTGAATAATAATGCTGAATAATAATGCCTTTGCAAAGAAGAAAATTCCCTTTTCCCCACGAAGTCATCAACTAGACTGTGCATTCGTGTATTTATAGGAAGTGGGTGAGAAAGCCCCAGGACTACTTCCGGTTAAGGGTCAAATTAATAAAATTACAAAATGTAATAAACAGAAAGATCGGATAAAAAGCGTAGTAAGATCATAATTACTGGTCAACTCGACTTTTTTGTGCAGTTAGGGATTGAAGGTGTATTAATCACAAAATAGGCCGGAAGTTCGGATAAAAAAACTTAGCAGGATCATTATTGATATAAGTATAAACTTGGACACTGTGGTAGAGTATAACTCCATTATGGATAAGATTTTATTTTTATTTTGATAAATCACACAGTGTTGCTACAGAGTAATGTTAACTGATGAGCACGTTTCGAACACAAATTATTGCTGCTCATAATCATATCAAGGTACCACTCACACAACTTTCTTACTTCATTTATATATATGAGTGGAACTGATGATTAGATATTTGAATGAAATCAATATGAGATAATGGACATTCAGAAACGATAATATGAATGTTACTGATCCAATACAGTCAGATGGGAAATAAGATGTCTTTTATAGTCAAAATAAGTAACTTGTTAGAATGTTATGATTTATGTGAATTGAAATAGAATTTTGAGATTATTTATTATCCTCTTCTGATTTGACTGGCGGTAATAATATCTTCCATACATATCTCTGGTATTTGAGTTGGAGTCATTTCTGTTGCATGTGTCTGGTGTAGACTCAAGGAACCATGATTCAGTAATCAATCTCTCACTCTCCACCTACCTATATTACTTCTTAGGATTTTGGCCTTCTCCCACCACCCTATTGTGTGGTTGTGTGTTAATGCATGCAGTGCAATCACTGCACTTTTCTCTAAATTACTTATCTTCTCGGGGTCAACCATTCTTACCTTAGCTAAATTTTTATGTTCCGACAATCTGATCACCCCCCGAGCAACTAGTTTGACCTATGTAGTTGATCTAACTCACAATCATTGCAAGGTATTTTGCAAATCATATTATTTTCTTTGATCGGGTCCACCGGGTCTTTTAGCCTACATAGCTTGTCCTGCCTGAGTGAGTGAGTTTGTGGGTTTGAATACCACTCTAACTCTTGCTTTATTGAGAATCCTACGTAGGGCATCAGATGTCCTCTCCCTATATGGTATAACAGTAGATGCCTTATATTCTCTCTTATTCACCTTATCAATATTAGTTTCAACATAATTTTTATTTCGCTTTTGACCTATTTTGATATTCCTAATTAATTTTTATAGGATGGTTATTCAACATCAACGCCTCTTCTATCTGTTTCACTTCATCGCTTAAGTATTTTTTTGTGCTACTGCTCGGTTTTATATTTTTGACTGGACACTAGTCAGTAACTAGTGTAATGTGTTTAGTCCTATCTTCGGTGCAGACTGAATTCTATCAGTCAAGTTTGCAATCAGAAATATATCCGATACAGTCCTACAGGAGGTCAGTCGCGAGCCTGAACAGCTCAGTGGTAACATCTCTGACTGCAGTACTCATTGGGTGACGCGGGTTCCAATCTCAGAAGGGACATCAGTTCCTTCAAGGTTGCAGATACGCCTTGCTGATGAGTGCCAACTAGCACGAAACCTAGGTCCAAGGATTCCTGCCGATTGCCTCCAACCACCTAATACTGCTTGGTTTGTTAGACACTTAACTAAGCCTGCCTTTAGAGATAACGGATGATATTGATAACGCTAGTATTATTTCTCAATGTACTTTATCTTATATTGTTGATTTTTATTCAAATGTCTAATCATCGATTTCACGCATATATATAAATGAAGTAAAAGGTTGTGTGAGTGACTTGATATGATTATGAGCACCAGTTTGTGCTCTAAACGTTATCAGTTAATATTACCGTATAACAACACTGTGTGATTTATTAGTAGGATCATGATTATTGAGAAAATTGACATCATCTAGCATAGTTGGGTAAAAGGAGAACGGAAGAGTGTGTATAGTTGAGTAACAGAACATCTGGTGAATTTGTGATATTCAGCTCCATTTTGAAAAGTCCTTCAAAGTTGCATACATGATTACTTCAAATCTCTCCTCCAAGGGAATGAAATATAGGCATCTGAGTATAGCCGAGACACGAGAGATCCAAAATTTCAACCCTGCGCTATGTATTCAAAAGAAATATGTCCAACCGTTGTCCCTATTATGGCCATCATAAAATGTCAGTTACATCAATAATCAATATTTTCTATGGATAGTTTGTAAGGATTACTTTAGATTTTACGAGTTGATCACGGATTGAGGAAGTACTGGACAGCTGTTTCATCAACCTAGTTTAGGGGTTCTAACCCAGGACCTTCCAGTTACAAGGCAAGCTCGTTGACGACCATTCAGCCACTGAGACCCAATTCAACGGCCCATGATATAATTCTTACAAGCCAACTATAGAAAATTAATCTAATGCTCGCTAGTGACTTGCTACAGTACTGACTTTCTTGGAGCTCTTGTGAGAAGTCGTGATCAGTGAGGTCCATCCAGTCGGGAGTGAGGATGGATGTTTGTGGTCTCTCTGAATCACGAATTGATAAGAGTTAAAATTCATGGGATGACCATTGAGTCGACTCCCAGTGGATGAATGGTATACGAGCTTGCTTGCTTGTGACCGGAAGGTCCTGGGTTCGAACCCCTCAGTGTGGATGCATACTGCCGATGATTTCCAAACTAGGATGAAACAGCTGTCCAGTACTTACTGATTTTCAAAGGTTCTTTAACTGACCTCAATCCGTGATCAACTCATAAAAATAATCAATATACAAAGAAAAGCCATTGACATCAAAAAACTTCGACCCAACACCTATGCATACAGAGTGTGACTAATCTCTCACCGCCCTACCTAGTAACCATAATTATTTTTTCCATGTGCTTTTATGTTTTGTTTTGTTACGTAACATTCCGCTCAGTTTTGATTTCGATTTTGACTTTCACTCACTGAGTTGAACTCACTATTAAGATTTTAAATCTACTAAATTAAATTGTTTTATGTGTTTTGTGATTTTACTTCACTATTCACCCCCACCTACCCTACTCTTTTAACACTAAATAACTGTCTGTTTACATCATCTTTGAAATTATATTACTCACACTCATTGTAAAAAGTATGTTCAGACATCATTTTGTAACATCTTGTAACTAGTGGAATGTGTCTAGTCCTATCTTCGGTGCAGACTGAATTCTATCAGTCAAGTTGGCAGTGTGGCCACCATGTCACTAGGTGGCTCGCTATCACGGTGCACTGTGAATTGTTGGTATTAAATGGTTGGAGGCAATCGTCAGGAGGCCTTGCCGCAGCCTAGGTTTCGTGCTAGTTGACGTTCATCAGTCCGCAAGGCGTATCTGCTACCTTGAAGGAACTCATGTCCACCGTCTGAGTTTCGAACCGGTGTCATCCAGTGAGTACTGCAGTCAGAGACGTTCGTCCTTTTTTATTCAAACTAATAGAGGGAACCGGCTGTATGAAACATTAATAATGATGATCCTATTACCTTTCTTACTCAGCCTTCATGTTCATTTCTGTTATTTTTACGTGTTTTTTTTCTAAATTCCTGTCTGCGTTACAAAATTTTTATCCTATCATCCTGTTTGTTACATTTTGTAATTTTATTAATTTGACCCTTGACTGGAAATAGTTCTGGAACTTTTTCACCAATTTCCTATGAATACACGAATGTACAATCTAGTGGATGACTTCGTCAAGGAAAGAAAATAGTCTTCGCGGTAACCTTCATTAAAAGTATGCTATATTCAGGTCTGCAATTAGTTGTGTTCTCTGAGCTGGTTGGTTTAGTTGCGGAGCTTTCGTCGTCCCCCTTCTGGACAACATCTCCTTTCAGCGCAAGCTTCAGCATAAAGTGAAATGCTTTAAATTCCTTCATGAGTGATGGAATTGCGTCTCCCGGTAACCATCTTTATATCAGTATTGATCATTTTTCTATTGACTTGGATTTTAAACTTTCTGGTCACATGATTTACTTTCGATTAGTTGGTAGATTTGGTCTACATTAACATGTTTGTTAATCGCTGACTGATTCGCTTGAGTACCAGGTTTCTAGGAATTCCTTAAGTGCACTTTTGGTGTTTCCTATATTTAAAATTTCTACATTATCCCAATCAAATTGGTGTCCATAATTATCTACATGAATTGATATGAAAGAATTTGTATCACGTCTTTTCACAGATGATTTATGTTCTTGGATTTAGGTAAAAGGTCAAGTCTAGCAGGGTAAATATGGTTCATTCCCTTGAGTTGATGCGTCCCAGGTTTGAGTCTTATCTCATCTAATTCAGTCTGGACAACTGGATAGCGTCAT